TGATATTTTATTATTATTATTATTTTATTTTTTTTTCATGAAACCAACCTCACCTGACTGTCAAATATGATTGCACAAATATTATAATTGAAATTTTAGTTGGAAGGACGATCAAATCTTTTTGAGTCAAAATCAAATATCTTTATTTAGCATCTGTTTGGCACACATTTTTTCAAAATTTATTTTCAATTGTACATTGTTCAATAAAATAATATTTTTCATCACATCAATAACTTTTCCTTTTTTTAACCGCATATTTCTCATCATATCACTATTTAAAATAGATTCTTTTTTCAATAATATTCATCAAACACACCCTTATATTCATATAAAAAAATTAGAGTAAAATGGAAATTTTGAAAAATCCGAACTTTGTGCACTCTTTACTCATCCATTTTCTATTGGATGTGCACTTTCAAATTATAAGTGAAAGTTCAGTAATCGAGAGATCGTAGTAAAAACAAAAATGTGCATCTTCTATAATAAAATAGTTGATATTTATAAAAATATGAAATTCATTATTGTTCAGGGTATTGAAATGAAACATGAGCTTGATACATGTAATGTATCGTTGTTACTTTGTTGAGTAGAATCGCCATTTTTGGGTTAGTTAAATCATTTTTCAAGCCTCCAACTGTTTTGTCTTCTAAATTCGAGTATATTTGATTCAACGTATGATTAGAATTGAAAGACATAGTTTTCTAAGAATCGATGATTAGAATTATATCAATTAATTGATGAATTAGTTCATAATAATTTCAAAAATTAATTGATTCACCAATTAATTGATGCGTCATGTTATTAATAATTAGTTTATGATAAGTACTTGTGTTTAAGAGATCATTTCTTTTAGAATTAGTAGAAACTCAAATTTTAGAAAATAGACTAATGATTAACTTGTAATAAATATCATAAATAAGGGATCTTCTCTGCAATTTTTCTTTCAAAATAATTTCATTTACAAATCTGACTAGAATATCGTATCAAAAATCATGCTACAAATTCAGGCTCAAATCCAGGTGAGACACGTGTTGAAGCCTGATGAACAGTTTGAAAATTTAAAACAAAAACAACTAATCATTTTCTGACAAACCAGTCTCTCCCTTTCCTATTTTTCATTCTGACTAAGTGGCTTTACCCTCGTATCAATTGATGCCTCACCCCTAAAATCCCCACTCACCTCCCCCACACCCTACAATGACGGAGTACGGGGCACAACGACCACCTTCGCCACCCACCACCACAATGTAATCCTCAAGGAGACAGCCCTCCAAGCCATAAACACCATAATCCAACTCCACCTCGAGAAAACCCTCGAAAAGAAATGGGCAGTGGACCTCCAAAAAAAGGAGCTATGGAAGCTCTTCCTATGCTTTTTCCTCTTCTTAGGCCTGGTTTTCCTCCCTCATTCCCAGTCCCCCGGCTTCAGTGTCGCCATTGCTAGATCCCATTCGGCTTTTCTCCTTAACCCACTTAATCTTCGACTTCGTGGTGGCTCAAACCCTCTAGTGCATCAATGGATTCAAGTTCAGAGATGGTGCCACAAATTTGTTAGGTTGTTTCCTCTTATGAGGAGGAAATCCCATATTTGGGATTTTATATTATAACTCAAAATCCATTAGGTTGTTAGCTCTATTAATGAATATAAAAATACACAAATATTGGAGAAAATAGGAGTCCAACCTATTTTTGAAAAGAAAGGAAAACAATTTATTTTTTCTCTGCGCCCAGATTTCATCAAAGCTCGGATCCCGAGTTGTCCGTGGTCTGATCGAGCTGAAATTTGGAGGAGAGGTTCACAAGACACACAATTACAATCTGAACTATGGGGATCGAATTTTGAGTTCGAAAACATTGGTTAATGTGAGTGAACAGTAATGAGATTTGTTGGTATAATTTTTCTATTTTACATTGTTTTGCCAAGATCGTTGTTATCGTTTGGCATCTCTCCCCACAAGTGGTATCAGAGTCAGATTCAAAAAATTTGGTTTTCGATTATGGAAGTGAATTTGAGTAAAATGATTAACTTGAATGGTTTAAATTATCACATATGGAAAGGAAAAATGAAGGATCTTCTTTGCGTAAAAGATTATTACCTACCGCTATTTGCAGCTGAAAAATCGAATAACAAGTCAGATGAAGAATGGAGTTTGTTGCATCGACAAGTTTGTAGATACATCAGGTAGTGGGTAGATGATAATATTTTGAACCATGTTAGTGGGGAGATACATGCTCATACTCTATGCAGTAAATTTGAACAGTTATATGATAGAAAGACTAGAAATAATAAAATGTTTCTAATTAAGCAGATGATGGCGTTAAGATACCAAGATGGAACTCCTTTAGCTGATTATCCAAATACATTCCAAAGAATTATTAATCAGTTAGCTGGAATGGGTATTAAATTTGACGATGAGATTCAAGGGTTATGGTTGCTTGGCTCATTACCGGACTCATGGGAGATGCTTAGAACTTCATTATCTAACTCCGTTCCAGATGATGTCATCATAATGGATCTGGCCAAGAGTAGTTCGTTAAATGAAGAGATTAGAAGAGAATAACAGGGATCTTCTTTATAGTCAGATGTCTTGGTTACAGAAAAGAGGGGGAAGAGTAAGAGCAAATGTTCGAAGAACAGAGATAGAAGCAAAGACAAGTCGAACAAGTTTGCGAATGCCAAGTGTTATCATTGTGGAAAAAGGAACACATCAAGAAACATTGCAAGCAATGGAAGAAAGAAAATAAGAATGAGAAAGGGAATGATGTGAAGAACGAGTATGACAAAGATGGTGATGATAGATTTGCTACCACCACTCCTGAGACTTCGTCATTATTTACGGTGATAAAATGATCAATTTTGCAAATCATAAGACTAGTTGAGTGATTGACAGTGGTGCCTCCATTCATGCTACATTGAAAAAGGATTTCTTTACATCTTATAAATCTGGTGATTTCGGAATTACAAACATGAGTAATGATGGCTTGGTTAAAGTCACTTGTATTGGATATGTGCATTTGGAAATGAGTAATGGTTCAAGATTGATTCTTAAAGATGTGATGCATATTCCAGACATCCGTTTAAACTTGATTTCTACAGATAAACTTGATGATGATGGGTATGTCAGTACCTTTAGTAATAGCCAGTGGCACTCAGGGCGCTATGGTTGTGGCTCGAGGCAAAAAGGTCTCTACATTGTATATATTGCAGACAAAGCTCTCCAGTGACATTGTTTATGCAAAGGATGGTGTTGGTACAGTAGAGTTGTGGCATAAGAGACTTGTTTACATGAGTGAGAAATAATTAGCTATATTGGGAAATAAAATTGTACTAAGTGGACTGAAAAATACACATTCAAAAATGTGTATTTACTGTTTGTCTGGGAAGTAGAACAAAGTCTCTTTCAAGAATCTACCACCTTCAAGAAAGTCAGAAATACTGGATTTAGCACATTTGAATTTATGTGGTTCTATGAAGACGAGGACACTTGAAGGCTCCAGTTACTTTATAACCTTCATAGATGATCATTCAAGAAAATTATAGGTTTATACCTTGAAGACAAAAGACCAAGTAGTGATTGTGTTTAAGCAATTCTAGGCCCTGGTTGAGAGACAGACTAGGAAGAAGTTGAGGTGCATTCGAACAAATAATGGGGGAGAGTATTGTGGTCCTTTTGATGAATATTGCAACAACAGTAAATTCAACATCAAAAGACAATTCTAAAATTCATCAGTTAAATGGCATAGCTGCAAGGATGAACAGAATACTGGTTGAGAGAGTGAGATGTTTACTTTCTCAAGCCCAGTTGCCAAGATTCTTTTGGGGTGAGGCATTGAGCATGGTCGTACGTGTGTTGAATCTTACAACTTGAGTTTTCTTACAGTATGACACGCCAGACAAAGTTTGGAATGGTAAGAGTGTTTCCTATTACCACTTGTGTAAAACATTTGTGTATGTTCTTAAAGCATTTGTGTATGTTCTTAAAGATGAGAGGTCCAAACTTGATGTGAAAACCCGACAATGTGTATTCCTTGATTATGGTTAAAATGAGCTTGGATACAAGCTTTATGATCTAGTTGAGAAGAAAATTATGAGAATCAAAGATGTCGTGTTTGTTGAAGATCAGATGATTCAGGATATTGAGAAAGCAGATAATGATTGAATTGGATCTGGTTTCTATGAAGAATTTAGGATGGACATCCTTCCACACGATATTCAACATAGCAATATGTGCTATTGACTGACTAGGGAGAGCCTGGGAGTTATACAGAAGTTATGGAAGATGAACATAAGATAGAGTGGGTTGAGGCAATACAAGATGAAATGCAATCATTGCATGATAACCACACCTTCGAGTTGGTGAAACTACCTAAGGGTAAAAGAGTTTTTGAAGAATAAGTAGATCTACAGGGTAAAACAAAATGATTTCACTTCACTACCACTGTATAAAGCTAGATTGGTTGTAAAAGGATTTGGTCAGAGAAAATGTGTCGATTTTGACGAGATTTTCTCTCCAGTTGTTAAGATGTCATCTATTCGTATTGTTCTCGGCCTAGCAGCTAGTTTTGACTTAGAAGTTGAACAGATGGTTGTGAAAACTGCATTTCTTCATGGTGATTTGGAAGAGGAGATTTTTATGGAGCAGTCAGAGAGTGTCAAATTGAAAGGGAAAGAAAATTATGTGTGTAGGCCGAATAAAAGTCTTTATTGTCTAAATCAAGCACCGAGACATTGGTACAAGAAGTTTAATTTTGTTATGGAAGAGCAAGGCTACAAGAAAACAACTTCTGATTGCTGTGTATTTGTTCAGAAATTCTCTGATGATGATTTTACCATTTTATTACTCTATGTTGACAATATGTTGATTGTTGGTAAGAATGCATCAAGAATTGATAGGTTGAAGAAACAATTGAGTAGGTCTTTTGCTATGAAGGACTTAGGACAAGCAAAGAAGATCATTGGCATAAGAATCAGTCGTGACAGGAGTGCCAATTCAGAAAGTAATCGAAAGGCTTAGTATGGACAAGGCTAAAGTGGTTAGCTCTCCTCTTATTACCGACTTCAGATTGAGCATTGAGCAATGTCCTTCTACAGGTAAGGAAAAAAATATGGAAAGAGTTCCTTACGCCTCAACAGTAGGAAGTTTGATGTATGAGATCATTTGCACAATAACATATATAGCCCATGCAATTGGTGTAGTTAGCCGTTTCCTATCGAATCCAAGAAGAGAGTGTTGGAATGCAGTTAAGTGGAACATGATGTATCTTCAAGGCAATTCCAGTTTGAGACTTGTTTTTGGAAATGGATAGCCGTTGTTAGTTGGCTACACAGATGCAGATATTGCGGGAGATGTGGATACCCGCAAGTCTACATTGTGTTATTTGATTACTTTTGCAATTGAGGCTGTAGCTTCGCAATCAAAACTTCGAAAGTGTATTGCCCTTTCTACGACAGACGCAAAATTCATTATAACAACAGAGGCTACTTAAAGAGTTGCTATGGGCAAAGAAATTCACAAGAGAACTTGGTTTCAAACAGCGCAGGTATGTGTTATTTGTGATAGCTAGAGTGTTATTCATCTTGTTAAAAATTCCAATTTTCATGTAAAATCGAAGCACATTGATGTACAATACCATTAGATTAGGGTTGCATTGACTAAGAAGTTGGAACTTGAGAAAGTTCATACCGATCATAATGGTTACGATATGTTTACGAAGACACTACCAAAGAAAAAAGCTTGAAGATTGTTGTTCAATTATTGGAATGTAGAATTCCTCCCTATAGTTGGAAGGAGGATATTTGTTGGGTTATTTTCTCTTATGAGGAGGAAAGTCCATAATTGGAATTTTATATTATAGCCCAAAGTCCCTTATGTTGTTAACCTTAATGATGAATATAAATACAAAAAGATTGAAGAAAATAAGAGTTTAACCCATTTTTGAAAAGAAAGGAAAATAGGTTTTTTTATCTGCGCCCAAATTTCATCAAAGCTCTGATCCCGAGTCGTTCATAGACTGATCGAGCTGAAATTTGAAGGAGAGGTTCACAAGATACAGAATTACAATCTGAACGGTGGATATCGAATTTTGAATTTGGAAACATTGGTTAATGTGCATGAACAATAATCAAATTTGTTGGTATATTTTTCTTATTTCATATTATTTTGCCAAGATCTTTATTATCTTGAAAAAATATATGTTGTAGCGTCTAGTTGTGATTAGAAAAAAATTTGTGTACCCATTATTTAATTGAAAGTGGAGGTTTTGACTGGATTAGGTCCCGTGGTTTTCATTCCTCACACCGAGGAAGCTTTTCCATGTAAAATAATTGCTTGTGTTTTATGGTTTGGTATGATTGTTTTTTTAAGAATATTTTCAGCATATAGAATTATCAGGAAATACGTTTTAATTATTTTCTTTTTAAAGAAAATTTATTCCGTTGTGTGTTTATTTGTTTTGCATCTCTCTTGACAAAATTGACTCTTGGGCTCATCATTGAGCGGCTGAGGCAG